AGTTGAGCGGCCCCATTCCCTACCCGGCCCCTGAACTCTGCGATGCGTCTCGTCACGAGGGCTTCTGCGTGGACTACAGCACCGACGTGTGGGCCTTCGGTGTTCTGCTCTTCTGTATGCTGACGGGCAACTTCCCCTGGGAGAAGGCGCTGCCCTCCGACTCCTTCTACCAGGAGTTCATCCGCTGGCAGAAAAGGAGGACAAATGTGGTGCCATCGCAGTGGCGGCGCTTCACCGAGCAGTCGCTCCGAATGTTCCGCCGACTGCTGTCTGTGGAGCAGGAGCGTCGGTGCTCCGTCAAAGAGGTGTTCGGGTACTTCAGCCACTCCTGGATGCTGGATGCAGAGAACAACAACAACAATGTCAACAGCAACACAGCAAATGGAGGCGGCGGCGAGAGGGTCAGCAACGGTGGAGGAGGAGGAGGAGGCGGTCAAGGAGATACCAATGACACCATCTCCTCATCTTCATCCGGAGAGGAGGACGAGGAGATCCTGGTGGAGAGGATGAAGCAGCAGACGTTGTCTCCTCTGTCCCCGATGTCTCCGATGTCGCCGGTTGCAGTGGAGAGAGGAAGCGCCGGCGCAGCCAAGAGCGGGATGATGGAAACGGTCGGCGCCAACGGCAACCACCACTTCGTTCCCGTCTCCAACAACAGCTCTGTGTCCTCCACCAACAGTTACGACCGGATGCCCCGGGACAACAGCTCCCCTGGTGGTCGCATGTTGGTGGCCACGCCCATCGAGATCTGTGTGTGAGCACGTCACACTCACCGCGCCGCGTCCTTTTTACCTCTGTCATCTCCACACTGATGTGCATGTCCAAAAACAGCAGAACTCGGACAAAGAGCATCAACCTGTTTGTCGTACACTTGAAGCACTGAACAACTTTACGTCATTTACCGTAGTTATCTCTTAGGCTTCGCAACAGCTGCTTAATCGTGGTCTTTAACTGGATTTGCTCTATAAGTAGTTGCTGTATCCAACGTTTTGTCTGATACAACAGCCTTTCAACTCCAATACCTTACATGTCCCAAACCCTCATAGCAACTAGCGGCTACTGCTCTGAGATGCTAACGTTTATTCAAATTAAACACAGATTCAATGGCTAAAATCAGCGCCTACATTTGCAGAACATGCTAATTATGGTACAACAGCGTCTGTAACCTACGATGTTAACTGTAACACAGTAGATACTGCAGCTGGTACAGGCAGTGCACACAGAAACAGCTGACGTCATCTAGCTAGTACTACAGAATATACACATTATTTTCAATAGTTAGGTAAGAATGGCTGCCCCCTGGTAGTGAAAAGGTGAAATGCAGCTATTTAACTTCCTAAGCAAATCTAGTCGGATGATGACTGTTCCTCGATATAATACAATAAAATACATTTGTCACGCGTGTACATTCCTGAAGAAATTCATAAAATCCAAGACGCCACAATTACTCTTTGAGTCAGCTGACGAAGTTTTGGTGAAGACGCAAAAAAAGGCTTCCATCAGAGATTCTGCAACGAAAAAAAAAAATCACAGGAAGAGAAGACCAAATTTTTGTTACCTAAAGCAATACTTTCAGCAAAAAAAGAAAAAAAAATCACTGAAGCAAATAGAGACTTGAGGAGGAGGAGCCTTGGTTCTGCTCCAGCAGACGCAGGACTTTTATTAACAAAGACTGAAACTGTCCACGTGAAAACCTGTAACATAAACAGTTTGACAAAAGAAAGACAAACAAACAAGCAGCAAAATTTAATGTTTAACCAGTAACAAAATGTGAATGTGTGGTTGTTTTTGATGTTTCTGTGTGAATCCAGAATGATTTTCTTTTGGTGGTTTTATTGTTATTTATTGGGAACTAAAAAAATTTGCTCTATTTTTTCTATTTATTTTGTACTGTAGATTTTTTTTCTTCAAACCTGTTTTCTTGTTCTGACTTTGTTCGGCTAAAGCAGTACTTCTCAAATAGTGGGGCAGGCCCCCCTAGGGGGCGCAGTGTGGTGCCAGGGGGGCGCGAGTGGCTTCCAGTGGAATATGGCACGCTAGACATAAGTGTACCTCTGCTGTAATGCTTAACGATAACGAGCATCCAGTCACTAGGGGGCAGCAACTCATACAGTGGTTTGTACAGATAAAAATATACAGGTTCTCAATAGTATTACAATTTATGGGGGTGGGGTGTGTGAAAACATTTCTGTCCTCAAGGGGGGGCATGATACAGAATTATTGAGAACCACTGGGCTAAAGCAACACAACAACAATAATGTGGAAATTTTGTGGTTTTCAGATGTAGAAATGCGCCCTCTGCTGGTCCACAGCCTAACATTTGGGAAAAGGAACATGTTCTTCAGCTACCTTATCAAAGAAACTTTTTGATACTAATTTTATTCCTTCTGTTTTTTTAAATTACTTTAATTTGTTTCTGAAAAGATAAACAGATCACTTTACGCTTTCTGTTCTGTGAAAGAAAAAAAATAGATATTTTGTAGGTAAGTTGCATGACCTGTAGCTCAGTTAGATTTACAAAGACAATTGAACCGTCTTAAAAAAAAAAAAAGATTAATTTGTTGTCGATGTGACGTCAAACTCGCCGTAGCACAACTTCCTCACGTGGCGTCAGTGAATGAATTAAGCAGCGTTTTCACAGACGTTTTAGGGCTAAAACCTGAGAACAATAATCGGTTCCTCGTCCCTGTGTTGAGTTTGTGTGGATATGAAACAGTTCTGGTCTCAGCTCCGTCCAGAACCAGAGGAGACAAAAAAACGACAGCATGATGACGAAGCGTGAGACTGGAAACCAAGCATTTTTAGCAGAGACTTTCAACATCTTTAGTGACACCTAGTGAGGTTGTGGATGTTTTTCTTTTTTTTTTTTACATAAAAGCAAAAAAAAAAAAAAAAGCCAATCCTTTCTTTTCCTGAACTTTGTGTAAACACGGGATAGATTATTGTAAATGGACAAATGTTTGGTGTTTTTCCTGCATGACTGTCGGTTCCTGTCGTGACTTCCTGCTCCGTCCTCCACTGCTGAGCTCTGAGACTCTATCACTGCAGACACCGTGTTTGTTTATCTGGTCAGGAGTCGCTGACCTCAGCTAGGCCTCAGCTGACAGACCTGATCCAGGATCAGCCCCACTCCCCCTCATCGGCCGGCGTGTATGCAAATGACTCCATCTTGTGACAATCTCTGACCTCACCACAACAATGGGCAGTCCTGACATGGATGCAGCGGAGGGCACTGTTGTGCTTTTATAGTGTTGGGGTCAGCTGCAGCTGTGGTCACGTGACCTGACGTGGTTATTAGTCATTGTTGGTCATTACCTCATCAGGAAAATAACCTCCAGTCCTTCACTGATCCTTGGAATGATGATGTTTCATCAGAGTTCATCTGTGTTATGTTCAAATAAAGCTGCTGCTGAAAGTACTGCCCTTTAAATAAAGGGACAGTTCAGGCTTTTGGAGTGTATTGGATGATGTGCTGACATAAAAAATAAACATTTAAAAGACAAAAATAAACATAAACCAGATAATAGCTAACATTTGTAGCGTACCTCCTCGTTAGCCGACCATGACTTACAAAAAACAAACTGCTTCCTCGTTCCTTTAGTTTAGCCTTCTAATTATGGAGCACCCCCTGCTGGAGTACAACATTAATTGACTAATTTGTGTAGTTGTTCCTAGTTACCTAGTATTTAATGGTAAATCAATTGTTTTCAAATTTTCACCTCCACACTGCTAACTATTCTTAAAGTTAGCGGCTCTGTCTAGTAGCTAATTTATCAAACTTTAGTTCATACTGTTTTTTTCTTCTTCAGCTCACGTTGTCACTCACTGTTAGTTGAAAACACAGTTGAAACTGTGGCAGTTTGTGAACAGTGCTGCTGGCGAGATAGTGTGTGTGTGTGTGTGTGTGTGTGTTAACATCACCACTAGAAAAACTGTAACTGCTGACAACTGTCTTTCAGAGTTCCTGTGGAAAAATGACAATTTTTGCACGAACACTGTATCAGCATGGTGTATTTTAGTGTCTCCTCAACCCCCGCCCCCCCCCTCTTCCCCCCCCCCAC